AGTATTTAAAAAGTGATTATTAAATTTTTTTTATATACTTTTTTAATTATATTTTTAAAATTTTTATAAAAGTCTGTGTTGGTTATTTTATTATTTTCACACTATAATTTCTTTGTTATAATATATTCAAGTAAATTATTCCAGTTTCACATAATTGAATGATCTGTTATACATATTTGCCATATTTGCTATTTAGAAGAGTCATCAAATACACATTACTGAATTAAGCTAAAAAATTTTAGATTACAATTAATTCTATGTAATTCTATTATCTTTTGATTAATTTTAAATGAAATCACACAATGGGTATGGCATAATTCATATGTTATTCGTAATAATGTGATCCCAATTCAAACGCACTTTAAATATTCAATTCTTTCCCATGTAACACTTTATAATTTTTTTTTGGAATTCTTTTAATATTCATCTATTAAATTAAACATTGAAATTGGGATTGGAGTGATAAAGCAATAAATAGAAAATAATTATTAAAAATCACTATATATCATATTATATATATATATATAGAATATAAGTGAATTCATTTTATAACACTTATTGTAATCTTGAGAATAATGTAAGATTTTAATTCAACCAAAACTATTATTTAAATAAATAAAGTAATTTCACATATAATTGATTATAAACCGAGAATATATACATATATTTTTGTTTACATATGCGCACCTTATTATAAAACTCAAAAAAACTGTATGAGATAATCTTAATAATAGATTATAAAGACGACGGTAACATGCTAAAAATTTTCAAGAGCAAACCAGTTACTAAATTCGTTCTTTGCTGGCTTTTTTTTTTCTTATTGTTCCAAAGCTTTATTTTGCTTCTTTTTTATTCTTTAAATTTAATTTGAAAAGACAAAAAAGAAAAATTAAAAATATTAAAAAATATTCACGGATGTTACCGCGATTAACAGCTTTTGTTACCGTGAGTTTTAACAATATACTGAGATGGTGTATAAAACTAAAGAAAGGTGTGTGTTCAAAATAAAAGTTTTCTATTTCAAATTTTAATTTTGATTTTAACTCTTTTTTTTCGCGTTTTTTTCTTTTATAAATCGTTTTTTTTTTTAGCTGAAGTTTTAACTTAATAGCTATATTATATAGTTTATAGTACATACTACTATTTTTTATTTGGTTAAGGTCAAGCAATAAAAGTAAATATTTGTTCAAAATATATTGCAGTTAACAATAGTTTAAAAAGTAACATCGATTTGAAATTTGTTGATATACTAATATTGGTAATACAATCAGTTGAATTTGAAAAATGGTTTCAAAATTATTAACATTCGTAAACAGATGTGTGTGTCCTACTATTTGTGTTCGTATTAACAATGAGAAGACAAAAGCATTTGATCGATTAATTGAAGAGATTTTTAATTGCTCTTATACGATCCAATTGTTATTAAGTAAATTTGTGAGAAGGGATTGTCTTTGTAATATCTTTCATCTTACATATATACCACTTTCATATCTGTTATAGCATTAATCACTTATTACTTCCAAAATAATCAAAAATTATACAATATAAAAATCTTAAACATCAAAATTAATTACGTATGACCCTTCACTACTTATTTATACGTGTTTTTTATTAAAAAATCACTAATTTAAACTTTAAGTTTAGTTTGAACTTTTTTTTGAACTTGATTAGTATTATGGTATATATTAATTCTATATTATAGTCAGTGTTGCCGTTTTACAACTCTATAGTTATAAATCAAGCGGAATTTTTTAAATTTTAAATATGCAAAATATGAGAATCAATTGAATATATTAAAAAAATAAATAGACACATTTTTACCTTTTTGACAAACAGTTAAGCAAAATTTTTATTGCGTTTATTTCACTTCATTATTTTCAGAATACATATTTCTTTTTGTGTCCTCGATAACGAAACAACTTATGAAGATAGCTCTTTTTATCGCACCAATTTTATTTTAAGCTTACTGATTTTTTAAATACTACAATTTTTTTTTATTTAATTAACGAGCTTTTTGCGTATAGCGAATTCGCAAAGTTTTGAGCTGTTGAATTTTCGTCATTTGGTGGATTCGCTATACATTGATTCGCAAGTGAATTTCTTCATATATTCATTCATCTGATTTTTTTGCCAAATTCATAAAATAAAAATACGAAGCCTATAAATTAAATTTTGTCTTATTTTTTTAAATGATTTTGTTTTTTTTAATTAATTATTATTACGAATTCAAAACTTTCTACAAAATTTATATAAAGAATTTTCAGATAGAATTTAGCGATTTTTTTTTCTGTGACGGCAACACTGATTTTAGAGTTGGTAATTCAATATGATACAGAATACACACGTATAATTATGTGTTTTTTATTTGACTATAATCAGTTTAAAACATGCGTCAATTTTTCAATATATTATAATCGTTGTATGTGCGTGTGTACATTCATGTTACATAAATTTAATTTTAACAAAACCGGAAAATTATATTTATATATTATCTCTTTCTTACAATATTTAATGAATAGTTTTTAAGATTTAACACCTTATCATTTAGTATAGAAGAATTTTTACTTCCTTATAAAATATCATCCGATATTTTTGTGATAGTTACTCACTTATTTACAATACGAGTACAAATCACTTATTTACAATTAATACAATGTAGGTACTATATATACATACATGTGTGCATAATGTAAAATTGTATATTAGGGAAGGTACTGCAAATTGTGTATGTGCTTCGATAATTCTCATTAAGATTTATTGACCAATATATTATGTATTTAGTAGTTGAAGCAAGAAAATGGTAAATACTTTATTTGGCTCATACAAAACGGATAATTTGTTACTATACGCCAAAGTCACTTACAAAATGAATTTCCTTGACTATGGCATATTTTAATGAGCAAATTAACGTTACGTTTAAGGTCGAGAGTTGAAACATAATACTCGTATTGAAATAATCTAAATTTGCCAAATTTTTAGATATAACACGGCTTAAGTACTATAGTAAAATATTTATTTAAGATTAAGAAATATAAAGAAAAAATAATGGAAATGTTCGAATTTTTTCGCCTAAAATTAATAAACTGTAAAAGAAAATGACACGTACGAATCCCTATGGGCAAAAATTCAAATGAATATAAATTTGCATTATCATAAAAATTAAGCCCAACTAGTTCAAAATAAAGAAGATCGTATTCCCTGTTTCTCTTATTTAAACTTTTTCTAAATTTAATAAGAGTACCGCAAATTCTTTAACATAAAAATTTTGTTTTCAGTCTGCAAACTGTCTGACGTATAAAACTTTTACGGACAGAAATGTAGTAAACTTTTTACCCGTAATTGACTTTGAATTTTAATCATCCGTAAACGTAAAAAAAAAAAAAATTTTTTTTAGATTTAAAATAATTTTATACTTACATATTAAAAATTAACCAAGAAAAAGTTTTTTTATATTATTTTTAACGTAATGATAGTCACTCAATACATCAAATTTATTTACTGAATTTCTACGTCACACTGTCTTCATGTACAAAAAAAAAAATCTACATTTTTGACGCTTAATTGACTTTTTTTAAACGTTTAAGAATTTAAGCTTTGACTGAAAGTAAAAACGCATAGAGTATTCGTAAACTCAGACAACTCAGATTTTGTAAAATTTGACGTTTAAGAATTTACCAGTAACTTATCCATATTTTATATTCTGACAGTTTAATTCTACATTCAAATGCGTCAAAACTTTTTCTATAATTTTATTAAAGGTTACTTTATTCCTTTCCTTTCCATACCCATTGTTTTATTTACAGTAATTTGCGTTTTCTTGTCACGGATATTATTTTAACAAAATTGCATCTATTGAATTACGTGCTATGCTATTATATACGTAATATGTGTGTATGTATTCTTATGATTAATGATTGAAATTGACAATAATAATAAACATGTTGAGTGCTGTATTGTACGTATACTTACATTACAACAGAAATGAGCTTACACAATAGTGTATACATACATTACATATAAAATATATTTTCTTTTCAATTTAAACAACAATCACTTATATTGTATATAGACGATTATTATTCTTTATCATAGTTACCATCAGCATTCAACACTAGTTGCAATGGTTGCCGCAAATTCAAGCGTATACAGGAAAACCTCGGTCGACGAAATACTGCAATACCAATTTTTGCCATTTAATTTTTAGTAATCTTAAAAAGTTTCATAGAGAATTCTGTAGAGAGTTTTTTAAGAAACATGATATACTAAGTAATACTCAAATTGATTGGAGAAAATCCGCTATATAGTAAATAAAAATTCTGAAAAACCTTTCTTTTCGAAAATTATATCGTACACGCTTTTTAAGCTCTATTTTATTACGATTGCGGATCATAATTTTGTGTATATTTGGAAAGGTCTTAGCGAGTTCTACAATTTTTGTTTCGGTAAACTTTTGAAAATCAACCCTTTGACGACGCAGACCCCGTTTAAAAGAATTCAGACAAAAAAAAAAACATTTTTAGTTTATACATACATACATACATATGTACAATTCTATTTTTGGGTGGGAAACTTTTTACCTAATATGCAGCGTAATTGTTTGCAATTGCTTAAAATTAAAAATGAAATGCATAATTTTATTTCTTTTAGATTTGTCTAAAATCTCCTAAGCAATCCGAATTCCATATAAGTTATACATGAAGCTTTTGAACCATGTAAATATTTAAAACCTCATTTCCCGTTTAGCTTTAATCTATTATTACTTTGATTTATGCAAAAATATTCAGAAATTTTTGTTTATAAAATTGTAAACGACATGGTAACAATATTTACTAAACAACCTTAAGGGGGTGTATATGGTAACTAATGATTTCAATTAAATAATATTAAATACAAATTTAACAGCAGTCAATGAAGATTTTCCAAATTTATAATTTTGAGAACTTAAAAACATAATTAATTAATTCATTAATAAATATTTTTAAAATTTAAACTTTGTCACTATGGACCCAGCTGAAAGTGTTGGTTCACGGGCCTCTGAGGAAGAGGAACCGTTGATTCCAGAGGAAATTGATGATGAATTCTATAATGATCTTCTAACAAAAATTGGAGATGTAATTTATATTTTCAATTATTCAAATAAGAACTTTTTTATTTATTTTAAAATATAAATTAGTCCTGAAACAAATTTTTAAATTATAGCTTATACGATATACTCGTAATAAATTGGATAATCAAGTTAATGCTGATAATATTCAGAGAATGCAAATGGTTTCTGAAAAATTTAAATGCGACTTATTAGCTGAGAAAAAAGTTGTAGAAGAATTGAATGAAATTATACAAAAATTACAAGAAGAATTGGAACAGGCTACAGCAAAATCACTTTTAGACAAAAGTACAAATGATGAATTAAAAAGTGTTATACGTAAGTTGAAATGTATACTTTGTTTTTTCACTCAGTAGTATGTAAGTTTAAAATATTTTGAACTGAGTAGGTACTACATATATAATGTAAATATTTTCCTATAATAATTTCAAAATGATTATGTCTTTAGTTCGAATGTTATATTTTATCCACATGATTAAGAAAATTAATTTCAGAAAATGCTTGGAAACAGAGAGATGCAGCTTTAGTTCGTGATGAACAATCACAGGATGAAATGTTTAAACTTCGTGAGAAAATTGAACATTTGGAAACTGTTTTACAAAGAACTGGTGAAAAGGACAAAAGGGGCTCAACCGAGTAAAATAATTTTTATATTTTAATTATTTTTAATTTAAAGTTTAATCAATGTATTTTCCATGTAAAAAATAAAGAATTGATAAATTAAGAGACAATTTTAACAAGGAAATTGAAAAGTTAAAAAATGAAATAAAGGACACAAATAAAAAATTACAAATTGCCAGACAATATATTATTGAAGTTGAAGCAATTGTTCATAGACTTGAAGATAAAAATAAGAATTTGATTCAAATTCTGGATGTGAGTATTTTATTAAATAAATACAATAAAACACTTGTTTATAAACTAAATTCTTCTATTATTTAAAAGTCTTATCGAAAGGCTCACGGATAAGGTGCATTGAATAGAGGCACTAGCACCTCTGTTGTGTTTCCCACCTCTGAAAATGAATTAATCTGCTTCCAAACGAAATATTTTATACCTCATAATTCAATTCAGTAGATGCTCCTTTTAACTATTTAAATAATATATTAAGTTCTCTTTATTGAACAGAAGTAAATTGAATATAATCACACTTTACTCTACTTTCTTTGAAGAGTAATTATTGTGATACACATATATTGTAACATCCAAAATTTGCTAACTTAATCTAATCCATTGAATAATATGTGCAACACAATTTTCTTTTTTAAGGAAAACTCATCAGAATCATTTCAAGATAAGAAAAAATTGGAAAAACTTAAAGCTGAAACAGAACAAGCTAAAATCGAACAAGAAAAATGTGAGGAAAAAATGAGACGGCTTAAGATTCAAGTAAACAATAAAATTTCTTTTTGTTGGTCGAACCTCTCATTAAAATATAAAAATTTTAGAATGAAAAATATTTGAAACAACATGTGCAAAATAGTTTGCAAATATTTGCTATTAAATCAACTTTAGATCAATCCAAAACATTACATAATGCAACTAATAATAAATTAATAAAAGCATTAACGGATTTAGAACAAGCCGTAACAGACAATGAACGTCTTAAAATGGAACTTGTTCAAAAAAATAATGTTATCAAGGTAAATTTCATATTGAAAACATAATTTTAATTTTTGAATTTTGAAATGCAATTTTAGGCAAGAGATAAAGATAATCGTAGATTAAAACTTGATAATAGAAAATATTTTAAAATAGCTGATGGGGTTACTAGAAAATTAACTGCTTCAAAACGATCAAAAATTAAGGTTGAAAGTGAAGTTAAAAGATTAATGTAAGATAATTTTTTTAATTTTTGCATTGTAAGAGGTTTAATTTTTATTCCAAACTATTATAAAATATTTTGGGTTTAATAAAACCCATATTAAATTTTAAAAAAATTATTTATATAGTATTCAGCAATTCACTTTGGAAAAAGAGCTTAAAGGTGAACAAAAAGTTGTTGAAACATTCGATACTAAAGTAGGAAATTTGACAAGAGAACGCGACAATTTGAAACGTGAATTATTGGCTAGCATGAAGGAGACAACGAATTTTGAAGAGAAATTTAATATATCGCAACAAGAAATTAAAAAACTAAATGAAATAATACGTGATCTTGAAATGCAAATCAATAAACATAAAGAAGAAGTAAAGAAATCACAATCTGAAACAACAAAGAAACAGGAGGAAATTGAAGTTTTGTTAAAGAAAATTGACCGATTGGACAGTAATTAAATTTATGCATTCATAATTTTAATTTACTTTAAATCACAAAACAACACGTACATTTATTTACAGATAAATTTACATAATATTTTTCTTTATTTTAGTTGAGGTCAGATTTCGTAATAATATCATTGAAGATTTAAATCGTGATATTGCTAAAGAAAAGGAAGAAATTAAAAAGCTTATAGAAGAAGTTAAAATGGCTCACAATGAAACAAGTAACATTCAACGAAATTATGAAAGAGCTAATATTGAAAGAGATAAATTGAAAAATGAAGTTGATGTAAGCATTTAAATGTAATATTATGGCATTAAGTAATTATTTTTCAAAATTAATAAAATACTCGTAATTTCTTTTCAATATTAAAAGTTTAATAATACTGAACTTTCCTATAGTATTTGTTTCGTATATCAAAAGCAAAAAATTCAATTTTGGGGTTTATTATTTTTATATTTTATAGAACATTAAAGATCAGGGACTTGAACTGAAGGATGCAGTCACAAAAAAAGCAGCAGAGATAAGTCGTTTGTCTATTCAAGTAGAACGTCTTGAAAAAGATAGAATATGCTATAAGGGTGAAACAAGAAATATGCAAATTTTATATCAGCACACAAAATGTGAATTATTAGACAAAAAGAAGGAAAATGATAAATTGCAGAAGACAATTGCGGTAAATTAATTTTTAATATACATATTTCTGAATTTCCAAGTTTATCTTAAATAATTTTAATAGCAAAAAGATCAAAAAATTAAAAAAATCGAATTGCACATTAATAATGTATTACATGAAAAAAATTCTGTTTGCGGTAATCTTAATAAAGCAAATGAAGAAATTGAAGCTTTAAAAGATCGTTTAGGATTAACACGAGATGCTTTAGAGCATTGTGAACGTTCATACAATGAATCTATGGATAATATACGATTGTTACGAATGGAAGTAAAAAATCTTCGAGCTGAACGAGAAGTTTTAAAGAAGGATCGTGAAAATTCAGCTGATTTAAGAACTGAACTTTTACAAATTCATCGTGTTTTAAATCAAGAACGTATTAAAGCACGTGCACTTGAAGATGAAATCACTAGACCAATGAATGTTCATAGATGGCGTGCATTAAGTGGAAAGGATCCAGATAAAATGGAATTAATTTTTAAAATTCAAACTTTACAAAAGTAAATGGGTATTATTAATTTTGGAATGTAATTATATAACACTTATATATATAACCAACTATAATTCATAAAAAAAGATGTCTTATTCAAAACTATACATCCAAAGTAAATAAATTCAATTTCAGGCAGATACTAGCACAAAACATTGTAACAATTCAACGTGAAAATGCTTTGAGTGAATCGCACAAACTATATACAACTTTAAAGAATTTCATGATGAGATTACCAAGTCACAAATTGAAGGAAAAAGTTATTGATTTATCGGTAAATTGTGAAAAGAAAAATTTATAATACAAATAAAATTTTAAAATTTTTAGAAACATTTGGGTGCAAAAAATAATAAAATTAAAGCTCTGGCAGCTGAAATAGCTACAAAAGAGATAGATGATAAAGCGAAAGATACCGCACTTGAAGATTTACGTGCAAAATTAACTTCTGCTAAAAAAGAACTATTAGATCAAAAGAAATCTAAAAGAAAACTGTTAGAGGAACGACAAATGTTTGCTGAAATGCAATTACAATGTTTCTCAGCCCCACCAGCTGCACCAAGAATTCTAGGTGCAGGTTATAAGATGACATTCGGAAGTCCGATAATAAATTAGTTAGAATGAATTAGAGGGAATACGAGCATTTATTTTGGATTTCAATAATAATAACACTTGAGTTTATTTTTTACAAGATATGAATAAAATTTAATGCACTTTTGATATATGTATTTTGATTTTTATTATTAATATATTTTTAAATAAAATGAAAGAATGTCTCCTGAATTTGATTTTTTTCATTCTAGAAAAAAGTCATCCAATCATGAAAGTGTATACTGCTCCCATGATCCTTTCAATACATTTTGCAATAAAATTTGTAGAAATCGTTTTAAAAAATATTTTGGGGGTCATACCTTATTTTATATTTAAAAATATAAAATTTTAATCAAAAATTTAATTTTTGGTGCTTTATTCCATTGTAAAATTTTTTGCATCTTTTGAAAAAATTTTTATTAAAGTATGTTCATTAAGATTGCTTTACTTTCAAAAAATGATTTAAGGCTTTCGAATTAGGTTAAAGTCAAAACTTTCATAATACAAACTAATAAAACTCTTTTTCTAATAGAGAAACAAAGTGAAAACTCAGTCTACATAATATATACATCGGTGTTGACACTATGATCCCAAATTGGTATCGATATCATACAAAAACTCTTTTAAGAATATTTTGAATATCACATGTTTTTAAGGGCATGCCTCCAAAAACTATAACAAAATGTATGGAGATGAAATTCGCCTCAATAATATGATAATTTTGAGTAAATAATGTATTGCGAAGTTTCAAATGTATTTAATATTATATTTCAATGTTTTTTCAATAATTCATTCATTACTTTATCTGATTGTGTATAAATATAAATAAAATTAAATTTCGTTTTGTTTTTGATGCCAAGTAATCATGAGATAGATTTGATTTCAACGAAATTATACGTATTATGTAACTATGTATATACTGTTCTGGAGCTCGACCAAAATAATAATGTATAAATATAAAAGAAAAATAAGATTAAAATATGAATAGTAAAAACTTCACAATTTATGTTAAATAATTTTTATTTTTTTTTTTTAGCCTTACATTTTTTATTTATCATTTTAATTTTTAACTTTAAAATTGAATTTTCATTTTAATTATGGGTTTTTCTTTTTATCTTAATTTTCATTTACAAAATATGAATGAGAGAAATCAAAACAAAATAATCACATAAAAAATCGTTATACATTATTTTTGTTTAATTTACTTGTTTATTTCTTTTATTATTTGCATTATTTTATTTAAATTTTATTATAGTTAATTTATAATTTTGTTTTTTTTTTTTAATAATATTTCTTTAATACAAATGATGCTTTTTTTAAAGACTAAAATTCCAAATTTTATTGGTACATAATAAAAAAAAAACTAATAAATATATTGTTATTACCTTTAATATTTTCTTTAAAATGCAGTCATTGAATACATAATATTTTTATACTTTTAATAATATTTTATAAATATATACATACATTTATAGGTTGAAGCTATAAATTTTTCAAGAACAATTCACTAAGTTTTTGTTTTAATTATTTAATTATCCTTTTATGAATATTAGACAAAAAATAAATATTAAAAATAAATTATTAATAAAGTTAAACCTTTAATAAAAACTTAAATTTTATATCAGTTAGAAGAAACTTTTGTAAAAACGAAATGTAATTCTATTTTCGAAATTAAAGTTTTCATGTGCGCGACATGAACTCACGCCAACTCGCGTCAAACTTATGCTTGAAACTGACTAACAACAGACGTCCCAAATCAAGATGGACCAGCAAACGCCGAGGACTGCGGGGACAACGTACAATTTGGTTGTTAGTATGTGTGGTGGTATTAGGGATCCCGTGGTGTTAAGGATCTCTGCCGCGGATGACCATATAAAACAAAACGAATACCATATGGATATAAAATCAAATTATTTATATTTTATTTTTTTTCTGTTCGTAATATTTTTTGGAAACTTATTATGCTTCTTGATATAAACGTGACTGCAAAATAATTTAATGCAAGACATGAAATCCGTTGCAATCGTAGTTGACGTATATGATAGACATGGGTCTATCATCAAAGTATCCATACTCAGGAACTGTAAATTCTTCGTTATATTTTCAAGCTCGATATGTTGCTGTATTTTGTAGAGGTAGAGTATCCCTCACAGCGGTTCTCCAGAAATCAAGAAAAACCCACTGTTAACATAGCTAAGATACCAGAATCTGACCTGAATGATCTTGAAAGGGAGGTCCACACCAGAATCAACACGACACAATTATATAATATATATTTAACAACTTATGTAGGCGAAATAGTCTAGTTTCAAGTATAACTAACTGTTTCATAATTCATAATTAAATATGGATTCGCATATAACATTACTAATAACACATATATTACAAAAATTTTTTAAATTATTTCGTAAATATTTAGATATCAAATTGTATATCGTCAATATTAATTTTTAAGAATTCCTATATTCATAGATATGATAAATTAAATAATCAAATATATTTAATTTCAAAATATTAAATGGGCTTGAAAAGAAAATTATTGTACAAACATTAGAAGTGCATAAATATTTTTAAAATGCACACACATATGCATATAATCTTTTGGTTTTGATTTTAATAAATTATTAAAATAATTATTTATTTCAAATTTTTATTCATTTTGACAATTAAGAGGATTATCGAAACTTTATTTCTAACTTAAATTTCAATTTAAGTAATAAGTAATAAGTTTCGGAAACCGTAACATGATTAAAGTTCGAAGATAAAGATTAAAAAATGGTAGTATGAAAATAATATTAATTGTTATTATTTACATGTAAAACCAATTACCTCAAGCAGTTGCTTTTAAAGCATTACAAATATTCAAAACTAAAATAACTAGCTTTTTCAAATTGATTTACTCTAAACTGAATGTATGCATTTAAATTAAAAATTTTTTGTTAACTTGTTAAGAAGTAATCTCAATATCAGCTTTGCCTTGTTTAAATATCACTTCATAGACATTTTAATAACATTGGATTATCTATTGATAATTTAGAATTTTTGAAAAATACAAAATATGTAAGTCCAGGTTTTGCAATTGTATTTTTAGCACTGGCAACAATTTTTAAAATAAATATTAAATTTGAAATATTCTTGATATTGATTAAGTTTCAAGTTAAACGAAACTTAAATTTCATTGCCAAAGTACCGTTTGTATTGCCCAACTTGAGATACAGCATTCATTATTTAAATTTTAATAAATAAGAAACACAAAATTAAATTGACTTCTTCTGTATCGCAACAAGAAATACTTTGCAAGCCCATATTTTACTTTAATTTATTAAAAAATTTTTTTTTTGTTTATACTGTTTTTAAATTTAGTGCTACATTCTTGATTTATTTATTTTGGTTTTTTTTGTTTTGCTAAAATTTACATACATACATATATAGTTAAAAAGCATTTTAATCTTTGAGAAATCAGAAATTCTCCTAATTTTTTTCCGAATTTTATTTTGCTAAATAAAGCTACATATTTTGTAGATCAATTAATTGTTTCTTAAGATTTAAAAAGTTTTTAATCATGTTAAATACATATATTTTTTAACTAATTTCAAATCTTTTGACATTTTCTTTCACTAATTTGATTATTTCTACAATGCTAATACGATTTGCGCTTATTTTGTTTCTATTCCTTTAACTTTTATTTTCAATTATATATTTTCGAAATTTTTAAGTTGAACTTCAAAAATTTCGACAAAATAAAAAATTAATTTAGAAAGATTTGCCTAAAAAATTATTTTATTAATATTTACATAATTATCAATTTAATTAAAATAGGTCATACAAAATAAAACCAAATAATGTAATTAATTCTTTAGAAATTAATGCTCAATTACAATTATCCAATATATGAATGTGTATACGTGTACTTATTTACATATACATATAACATACATAATTTTTTCTTTAAGCATTTACGAAGTCAGTTCTTAAATTATATAAATTAGATACGTATAATATTATATATTACATTACATATTTGTTTTCAAATAAAAAAATTTAAACAAAAAATATTACCCACAATCATAATTAATTTTGTAAAATGACTTAAACTAATAAAAATCTAAATATCAATCTTTTTACAAAGCCCACATTATATGTACGTATTATAATATAGAATGTCAAAAATCAGAAAAAGACTTATTATAAAGTACTTTAAAACAACTTTTAAAATTCAAGTCAAATTTTATATATAACAGTGGAATTTAATTTTGCAATATTTTAATATACTAATATGATTATAACTATTGCAAATTTATTCTTATAAAAAATATTTAATTTTTTTATTTTCTTTTTATTTTTAATATTATAATAATTTTTTAGCAAAAGAAATAAGTATAAACTTAATATAAAAATGAAAACATTTCATGTTCCCACTTCACGAACATAACAATCGCGACAAACGCGCACTGCTTTCGTCAAACCATATTTTGGCAATGGAGCTGATGAATTTGAACACCCACCACAAAAAACTCCACCACAATTTCGGCAGTGATGACGTCTTCGGAATGCCGTAAATGGAATTGTACAAGCCATACAACGTGGCGCATCTTCGTCTGGTATCCACGCTGGTGGTGAGGGTTTTGGTAAACTAGTACTAGTAGCTGAATTACTATTATTATTACTACTGCTATTATTGATATTTCGTCGATTTGCTGTTGATTGTGAGAGAACTTGTGAAGTAGATGAACGTCGTTGATTTGATGATCTTATCACATTTATAGGATTTGAAACAATTTGTTGCTGTGAATATGCAGCTGTTTCATTTTCTGTAGCGTTTATAACCGTATCATCTAAATTGTGTTCATTTGTAAAGCAATTTATTGCTGTATTTGTTGTACGTAATGATCGTTCATCAACGGGTGAATTACTTGCTGATGAATTTATTGGACTTTCACTTCCGGCAGAATTGCTCCCTTGTGATGAAAGACGTCTTCTTTCTTGTAATAAATGCAATTTTCTATTGTTTTGTTCATTTTCTTGTTCTTCACCAAGACTTCGAGTGCGTTCAATATTACTATGTGCATTATTTTTATTATTGTATTCACTCAGCTGTTGGTGCTGATGTGATGTCTGAACAATTGAATTAGATGAATCTAAACTATGACCTCTATCATTATAACGATTATTTCGTTGTGATTGTGGCAACTGCATATCAAGTTGCTGTAACTGATTCGAGCTGCTATTACTACCACTATCTGCAGATTGATTGAATGAACCTTCATTCATAAAAACATTATCTAACTCTGGATTCACTTCTTCAGCAGCTGAATAAATACTTTGGTTAGAACCAGCATTATTTTCTTGTATAACATCATTTTCACTTGGCCGAAATTCGAATAAATCAGCGGAATCCTTGGATTTTTCTGAAATTTTTACATTTTCTTGGACGGGTGTCGTATTCATTAGAAAAACACTTCGAAGTATTTGGCGTAGATCTGAAGCAAAATTTGTTTGTAATTGATCTGCTACACCAGCTATACAAACAAACAAACGATGTAAAAGACTTTCAGTACTCCTAAAAAGTTAAATAAAATTTAGTATTCATGAAATTATAAAAAATGCGAACTGAATGATTCGATTATTAATTTAGAAAAAAATGTATAGCAAGTATAATTAAAATTATTAACACTTTGTATTTAGAAACTGAATAAAAGAGTATTCGTGGTTAAAATTTTGCTTTTTATAATTAAAATGTTGAATATTGCAATACTAACTTAAATTTCATTCGCCCGGCCGCTCTTAGAGCTAAATCTACTTCATGGGGATCACCATCAGATAAGGAAGATGTAGTATCTCCACTCGACGGAGCTTCCGCTGAATTACGATGGCTGCTATTTGTACTTTGTTGACGTTTAGATCTTTGTTTTCTGGAATGATGTCGATAATCTCTTTGCTGCCGACTTTCACTGGAATATGTGTTAGTATACCTATGTTCAGTGCTAGTTGCAGTTGAGGAACTACTATTACTGCTAGGTAAAGAGGAGTTAGAATTTGAATGACGTTGATGATGATGACAATTGCGATGGTGGTGATGATGATGGTGATAATGATGATGATGACGATGAAGTTTTCCATTTTTGTTTTCGTGCTTTTTAGTGGATGAAGTAGCACCATCCCCACCACTACTTATAACTGAAGATTTACTAGACTTGCTAATTGAATCACAGCTTTCTGTATCGAGATTAGAATTGGCAGTTGTTGTCGTTGATGCTATCGAAGATTGTTGTTGTGCTTGTTTTGTAATCGTGCGCGATATTTCACTTTCGTCTGATGAATCTGTTATGTCCATTCGACTACAACTAGGTTGCTCTTCTGTTGGTGTAACTGATAAAGAATATTTAATTTTACTCGCATATTTTTTTGTTGTAACTTTTGAAGATTTCAATTTCTTTGCAGAATCATCGTTCCCAGCCGAAAGTGGAACTCCTAAAAAATAGAAACATTAAAAAATTTTAAGTTTTTGGAATAAATATATATATATATATATCTTTGTATTTAATTATTTTTTTTCTGTAATTTATTTGTGGACTAACCTTCAACGAAATTATTATTTTTTATGTTGTCAGTCGGATTTTTTGAGATATTAGATGGTATTGACGATAAAGTACCTATTGCAACATTATTTGAAGAGTTAATCGTAACGTCATTATTTGAGGTTATTGTGCTACCACCGATTCCATCACCATATTCATCTTCACTAGCTACAATATTATCAGTCAATGCATCATCATTCTGTTGCAATAAATTTCCAAAATTCGTGTTTGGTATTAAAAAACCTGTAGCACAATCGGCTGTTACTAAATCTGACGCAATATCATTTTGAAAATTTATTTCTCCTTTAAAATTGTCTTCATTATCATTATCGTCACCACCATCTTCATTATCATCATCGTCATCTGTCCAATCAGACGAAATATCAGCTGTGGTCGCTGATGATGATGCGGAAGAAATTGAATTTGTTGGAGATATACTAACCAAGTTGATATTATCATTATTATTATCTTGGTTTTGTTGCAATTTTGAGAACTTAGATGAAGAAATTTGTTTAGAGGTTTTTGTAGATTTTATACTAGATTTACGTATTGTTTCATTGTGTTTATGTTTCTCATTTACTGTTGAGGTTGAAACTTTTTGATTATTAACTAATGCATTATTACTATTAGAACTAACTAAATTTTGATCACAGTCGTTTGAATTTAGATTTCCACCAGCAACTAAATCATTAGTATTTTTTCCCGCTTCTTCGCTTGCTCGTTGGTTTTCGACAACATTCTTACGTTCCGTTTCCTTCTCCTTTTCCTGTTTCAGTTTTTCACTTAATTTTGAATTTTGTTTTTCCGTAGATGAATTTTCTTCTTTAATATCCGTTTTGCTTTTACTTCCTGCCGCATCTTCTGTCAAACTTATTGATTGTGAATTATGTTGATCAGATTGACTGTTATTAAGTGAAGAATTATTATTGTTAATATTTTTTAAATGAATTTCTTCATTCGTACATAACAATTTTTCTAATTGATATAGTTCATTTTTATTTAGTGTTTTTAGTAAGTCTCGTATTTTTATTAAAATTGTTCGAAATGGTCGAAACATTTCTGATAATTGATCAGCTGGCATATCCATATTCAGTGGTCCTTTACTATATACAACTAAACCAGTAATTATTGCTAAACGTGGTATTGAAAACATTAAAGCTGGGTCAAATGAATCAACTTGATCTTGCTCTAATAAATGTATTTTTAAAGCACGTTGTAAAGTTTCGGAAAATAGAACACATATCAATTCTTGCATTTCATATTCTTGTTTTGATTTTACTTGAACCATTGCGCTAACATAACGTAATTCAAATTCAGCAAACAAACGATCAAATATTTTTAAACTTTCATATAATTGTTCAGTTGCCGAATCATTAATATCTAACTTCAGTGTAGGACTATTTGGTATATTATTACGAAGGCACTGATCACGTAATAAAATTCGTACGCTATCTAAAATTTTTGTAACAGCTTGTGCTAATGGACGCATTTCTGCACTTTCAAATTCACGATTCATAATTGATGAACCAGCTGCTAAACATTCAGCACCAAACCATAATTGACCAGCTAAATTCTCTTGTAAAACATCTTCGGGAAATTTTGCTCGAAATGCACGTGATGCACGATCATCCCCTAAAAGTTCTTCCATTATACGATTTATTATTGACAAAACTTTATCCTAAAATTATAAAATGTGTTTTTAACGTATTGAAATATAATATTTCACGTATCGTATTTTATTTTAAACTTACTTGTCCTTGGCGCAAACGATTTACTAAACGCGAACAACGATCCGGTTCTGCACGTCCATCAAAACTGTCTAATTCACTAGCAACTGCAGTTAAAGCTCGATCAGCGTGATAAAATCGCGCCAATAAAGATTTATCGTCAGCCTGTAAAATAAAAAAAAAACAGTACTTAATTATAATAAAAGCAAATTTGAATTTAATTTTAAATTTTTACTAAAAATGTAAAATAAATAGAAAATTGGGTCTATACAGTATATTCTGTTGACTCAAGATAATCAAGAAAACGTCGAAATATTCGAAACATTTTAAAGTTGTGTACATAAAAAAATTTTTTTTTGCGTTAAATTTACGCGTCATTTACATTTAAATCACTTCCTTCGAATGTTCTTTACTATAGAACTCCTTATTCTGATTTTTGTTAACAGAAAATTATGCACCATAGCATTGAAAAAATATTGATTTTCGCATGACCAGTATAAAATTTTTACAACCATAAATTATTACTTTATTAAATATTTAATTATTTTTTGATTTGTTAAGGAGCATTTTTCTAGAAACTATTAAAAAGGGACAGTTTAAAAAAAAAACACAAAGCTTACAAGATTGCTTTTTGCGTCAAATCATGCGTATATACTTCGATTTAAATATGTATACGCATAAGTATGTTTTTCGAAATTTTAAGTTTATTTCCGACTGCTTTCGAAATTTTTGAAAATTATTGTTACTTTGTGCAAATTTTTATGAAGACCAAAGTATAGAATTTTTATCAAATAAATAACTATTTTGTTTTCACCACATTATTACAATCAAGACAGTTGTTTTGAAATTATATAATAATGTATGTATGTAGCTCGTTACCATTTATTTTTATAATATTCTAATGCACGTACACGTACATATACTTCATTTTATATCAGATACAACGACAAAAAAAAATGGAAGCAAATGAAAAACAAAATACACAAATAAAAAGGACAAATTTTAAGTTCTATATCAACAGTTTACTTAATGTTGTAATAACACGTGTAAAAATATGTACCTAACGCCTTAAAAAAATTGATTGGCGTGTTTTTCACAAGAAAAAGAATTCTTCCGAACGATACCTTAAAATGTGTCTTCGTGCACGGTTTTAAAAATGTGAATAATTTGTTATTTTGTCCTTTGATCACATAGACATTTTTTATGGTGAAACAAAATATAATAGTCATAAGATTTATTAATAAATATTATAAATACATAGTTTGAGCGTGATACACTTGTGTACTTACATATATGTACATGTATTACTATTATGTACATAGGTATATCGTAATTATACATTTATATAGACCCATGTATATTGTGCTCATAACGCTGAATAAGAATTTATATTATACTAAATTGAATTACTATTAATTAAGGATTTAATTAATATTTCAAGAATTGTGAATTTAAAATTTTATTTTAATTTAATTTAATTAATTATTAAATTTAGAGAATTAAATAATTATTATTTTTATTAATTATTAAAATGAAAAATTTTTAGAATGTTATAAAACAATGCTTAATTGAAAATTTTTCTCCTTAATGTTATAAAGTTCCGAAATTTGAGACTTGAAAGTCATTGTAAAAATAATTTTTAATTATATTGCAAAATAAAGTAAATTTTGCAATATAATTAAAAATTATATATAATTATTTATAAATATAATATAATTATTTTGCGAAAACAAAATAATTTTACATCAAATTAAAAATTGTATTGCACACATTAAATACTAATAGAAAAAGATTGTACTTACAGTCTTTCCGCAATAAATATGGAAAAATTCAATCTACTTTCCGAATAATATTTTGCTAATATTATGGCAGCTACTTTCCGAATAATATTTTGCTAATATTATATTCTGTTGAATTTAAAGCAAATTTTAAATTTACAAATTAATTTTTAACAATTTCATAAATACAAAATATTTGGCAACATCATTTTGTAAAATTGTTATACTTAAATGCTTGAACAAATATTTATTTTATATTTTCTTAAAATTATGGCAACACAATTTAGGTATTTATAAGCAATTATAAATATTACAAATAAAAATTTTGCATATCATAACGCTCTCAATAAAAAATATATACAAGTATAACAAAACATTAAAATTTATTTATTTATTTAAAAAAAATATAATATTAAAGAATAACTGACCTAAATAAGAAGTAAATCTGATATCATAGAAAGAAAATAAATACCATAACATCGTAATTTTTCTACATTGATAATTAAATAATAAAATAAGTTCAGTACAAAATAAGAAACTATTTCGTTCTTACTACGTTTTAAAAACAGGGTTTCTCAGTTAAATTGTGTAGTCAAATTTGTAATTATTAACCATTGTAAGAAAGATAAATTTTATTTTAAAACTTAAAACCATAAATTTAAAAAATGGTGGCCTAATTTATTAGACTTACAATTGTACTCTTTCCATCAGAAGTTCAAACTCTTTTGTATATTTAATATTTGTATGAGACATTTATAACACTTAAGTATTGTTTGTTAAAATTTATTGATTCATGTTTGTAATTGAAATGTTTTACGGTAAATAATCAATACAAAAGTATCAAAAATATTTAAAATTTTTTATTTGTTGTCAAATTTCAACACGGCATCAATTAATAAATTAAATAAATTGTTAACATTCCCTTATTATATAAAAGTACTTACATATTTATATGCAAATATTTCTACATTTTCATATATGTAGATATTTATTATACTTACTAATTAACTAAAACTAGCATTGAATACACTATGGCATTTTTACTTTTATTTTTGTAAGAAACATTTTGTCTTATTGAACTTCAGGATTTTAGAGTGATGATGACTCTTCTTTATTCTTTTCAATTTAAAATATTTTTATAAAAAAACAAAATTTTAATCACATAATTACAAAAAATAAAAAAAAAACTTTAAAGCAATAATGTTGACAGGGTGAAATAATTCCAAACGTTTTTAATATCAAGATTTCGTCAGAATTTTGGAATCTGTCAAATAATTTTTTATAGCATTAGTTTTCAATTAAGTATAAAATTTTTATGTCTATACTTAATGGTTTTTAATGCGATTTATTTATTTTTTTTTTAATTTATTTTTTAAAAACTTTTTAAATGTTATTGGGAAACATTAAATATTTTTTAGATTCCACTGGGATTTGAACCCGCTCCCCGATGATCACGAAGCGATCATTTTAACCGCTAAACCAAATTATGGTTGTGTGTAGAAAGAGAAAATTTTGTTTTATAAAAGGAAACGTCATACGTTAATTTAAATGAAAATATTATGCATGTCTTGCATATATAGCAAATACTTACACATGCTACATTTAAATAATGTTAATAAAGAATCTTAAAGAAATTACATTTAAATGAAGAAAAATTTATTAAATTTTGACAATAATTGTAGTACAATCAATGCAATATATTTATAGGTTATGTTAAAAATAGTGAATAAATTCTATATTGGCGTTCCAATTGTAAAAAAAATGCTAATGAATTAAAGTGTTCTTGTGTAGAATCGAAAGCGGGTATTATGAGTTACTTCAAATATTTTATATAGGTACCTATTACAAATTAAGGTAGCAAAATGTAGTAAATTTTTTAGAAAGTACATACTTCAAAAAAGTAGAAATTTCAAGTAATTTTACTGATAGTGGGAAACTAATAACAAATAAGTACATGACTGAAAACATTTTTGTGATAACACTGTGCTTCATAAAACACAAATTATTTTATTTATAAGTAAATAAATATTTTTAATTTTATGAAAGTAAATACTTGACATATATTGTGTATATTTGATAACCATTTATAAAAATTGACATTATTATATTTGAAATGTTAATCTAAAGTAAATAAAGGATAAAAGTAACTATCAATAAAAAAAAGTAAGAAATTCAATTTAGTACACAATTATTTAATTAAGATTTATTTTTTTATTTTAAGACATGTGAATATTGATAAGGAGACATGTGAATATTAATGCTTGCTCTTTACAACATTAATGTTTAATAATTTTAGGACAGGACTTTCAATTTACTGCCAGATATCTTCCTCCAAAAATATTGTAGCAAAACGAAAAATTTCATGATTTTGATCTCAAACAAGGGAACGTTATTGAGGTAATTTTTGCTGAAAAACGATTAACTATATAATTTACATGAATTTTAATCCAGGAACAACATTGCTGTATTCATTTAACATGAATATTTTCTCTGTAAATATACCCTGTTGATTATTCTACTATTTCGATAGAATAGAGTACACTTGATAAGATACAATCAAGAAAGTAATAAAATAATACTTGATAGAAATATATATATATATATATATATATATATATATATATATATATATATATATACCGGTAAAAACACATTTATAAATTACGCAAAAATAAAATAAAAAAAATATCATAAAATTAATAGCAGTCGAAAACGATAACCTTAGAATAGACATAATCTTTTCAAATAAAAACAAATATTTTCAATTATAGAATGAAAGCAAGTTTATAATAAAAAAATTGTGTATGACCACATTCTAATCAAAAAGTTGATAACTTGTAATATCAAATAGAAATTTAATTAACATTTTTATTTACTTTTATTTCTTATTTTAAGTATTTTAATAATTTAATCAAAACATTTTGATTTGATTTTTAAATTTCCATTCTATTAATTTTTTAATAATAAAAAATTGCATTTAATATTTCAAAATAAATTTTCGTATACTCATAATTTAGCAAAATTTGAACTTCATTTTCTACACATAATTTAAATATTTAATGTTATTACTCTCAAGATTAGGTCATGTGATCCCACTGTGATGATTTGTGTACACTCCATTTTCTACCTAGCAGCATGGGCCAAAATTCAGTTAATCACAAAAAATGAAATTAAGTGAGTACAAACTTTCTCTTTTAATAATTAAGAGATAAGTATGAAACAAGAAATTGTAGAATTTTGTAAGACAACAATAATATTTGTTATAGAAACGCCGCACTTTGAATATATGGACTGTTAATGTATATTAAATGTTAATATTACATATAATATAAATGTTAACATTTTACATAATATTCATTTAAAAAATGACTAATTATTTACAACAAC